TAAAAAAAATAAAATCCTTAAAAAAGGATTTTATTCTGTCACTGTGGCTGAGTCATTCTGTACCCTAGGCCTGGCATGGGGAAGGGAAAGGATGAGCCCAGGGGTTTAGCTGCCCCTGTTCTGCATCTTTCTTGTGCTTCAGTCCCTCCTGTGAGCCAAGCAGAGCACAGAGATGGGGCCTTCAAGGGGGTACTGGAGTCCCCCAGCAGCCTTGGGGAAGGAGGTTCTGGCCAGGTTTCTCAGACCCAGCAGTGCCCTTTAGAACTCAACTACAGGAGGGGGGATGTTGCTAAGAGCACAAGTTGCCATGGAAATACAAATGAGATTTTCTGACTTTTCTCATCCTATTATATAATCAGGAAAATGCTCGGAGTAGATGCAATCCAGCAGAAGAGCGGTCTGGAAGAGACCTCCAACTGCTTTCTTCTGCTACCGCCCTTTCGTTTCCCAAGGAAAAATTTCAGAGGCAGGAGATAGTTCTCCAAAGATTGTGTTCAACTTGAAGAGATGCCAGCATTCCCCCTCACGTCTGCCCAAAGGCACATGCACCTTTTCTTTCTGTGTTAAATAAAAGGAAAAACAGAAACATAAGGAAGCATGGGAAAGATAACTTTGAAATTAATGTAAAGCCTCGAACTGTAACCTTCTTATTTTTTAGGACCTTCTTATTTTTTAGTCCTAAAGCCCCTCAGTGTGGGGACTCTGTTACTTGCCTTTCCCTTAAAAAAAAAAAAAAAAGGTGACTTTCACACTGAAGCGTGCATCAGAATTACCAAGAGGGTTTGTTAAAACACAAATGGCTGGGCCCTCTCCCTAGTTTCTGATTTAGTAGGTCTGAGATGGGGGCCTGAGAATTTCATTTTTAACAAGTTCCCAGATGTTGCTGCTGCTGCTGCTGCTGGCTGGAAACATAGATTGAAAACCAGTATTCTAAGAAATGAAAGAGTTTAATCAAGGGACCAAAGGTCCACTTACTTCCATGACCACTCTTGTCGATAGAAAATTCTCCGTGACATAATCATTCAGAGAAAAATAGCCAGAACATCAAACTGGGAGGATCCAGGATACATAGGCTTAATTTTCAACTCTAATGCTCTCTGTGCAGCCTCCATATTTCTACCAGGGTCCTCATCTTCCAGCTTACTCCAGTTTCCCAGTCTCTGGCTGGCAGCGCTTGCCTCCAGGACTGGGCTGAGCACACACCCACACACACACATGGATCCTCAGCAATGGGGAGAGCCCAGCTGGTGGCCCCATATATCCCTGATCAGGTTGGTTGAGGACTCAAGAATATATAAAGCTGATTCAAGTATAAAGGGCAGTATCTTCAGGCGTTGGCCTTTGGGAACACAGTGTCCGTAAGACCATTTTATTACTTATGGCTTCTCTAGTGGAGCCATGAACCACTAGTAGCCAGAACTTGCTAGTAGTTCCTCATCACAAGAGTGTACCAGCATTGAATTAGTATATCCATTAGTAAACCCTCTGGAAAAACACATTTCATCCCATCAGTGGGGTTGACTTATAGTCTGCTTATTAGCATCAGCTTAGCTAAGGTCAAAGAAAAAGAAAAAAAAAAAAAGAATGCTGAGGAGTTACATTTGGTGATGTGGATTAATTTAACACTTGAACCCTGTGTTAGACCTGCGATTAGGACAAGAACAGCCTCCTTTCCTAAACACCCTGCAATCAAGAATCCTTAAGAGTCTCCTGTAGGTCTCCTAATGCGGGTTTGTAGGACCAAGTCCCACCCAGTCTGGCAAATTTCACCTTCTAAGCAGGGTTTCTGTATATAGGTGTCCTCACAGGCAATGATGTGAGGTGTTTGGGAGAAAGATCAGGTTGTTTTCTTCCTACTCTTTTGGAAACCTACAGGAACGAGTTCCCTCCGAGACTGGAAGGGAATGTTCCTCTGAATAGTGTGACCCTCATGGTCAGAGAGCTAGGAGTGGAGACGTGGTGAGATTAGGTCCATTGGGAGTCTTGCAAACCAGGAAAACCAAAGAGCCAAAAATGAAATGAAGAAAAAAAAAATCAAAAACAAAAACCCACCATTTCTTCTGAAATCCTTAAGGAGTATGAATAGATTAGTTAGAGGACTGGTAATTCAAGACTAAAATGTAGCATGCCAATCAATAAGGACTTCATTGTGGGGTCTGTCCACAGACAGCAAATCTTTGTTTCCTGTTAGCCTCTAGCTTCCCAATGGTGAGACTACACGAAAAAGATGTTGGTAGAAGGATTCACACAAAGACAGAGATAAGCACCGTAGAGCTGCCACAAAGCATAGATCTTTAAAAAATATTCTGAAGCCTCAGTTGGGAAACAGCAACAGCAAAGTGCTCTTAGAGAGAGAGAGAGGGAGAGACACACAAAGACATCAAGTCCCGTATTAGCCTCCAATTACCTAGTATTTTATTTTTAATGCCTAGGCAGGGATTGAGAAACACATACACTGGACAAAATGTGTTGGTCGTCTTCATCCAGAAATGAGAGGGAGTCTGCGTAGGGACCTCTCCTGGAGTCGTGGCTCTCCCCAGAAGTTGATGTTGGGTACTGAACCATGTCGTCTGCTAGCCCACTTTGGTGAGAAATGGAGTTGAGGGTCTGGAGAGGAAGGGGAGAGCACACATCCCAGTCCTACATAGGCTGGGTTCTTCTGAAGGTGCCCGGGGGCTGATAATTTAGCTGCGGGACCCGATTTTCATTTTCGGAGGGATCCCAGTAGTCTCAACTAAGAAGCAGATGCGTAGGTAGGAGAGAATGCTGTGGATTTGCTCTTGCCATTAATTCTAGGGCAGTGAGGGGGAGCTCAGGTTTTCTGCTTTAGAGAAGTCTGCATGAGCACCCCAAGGGGTTATAGCACCATGAGGAGGCTCAACCTTCTGCAGTTGCCACATAAGCATGATTCCTTGGTGAGACAACACATCCCCACGATGCGGGGTCCAAGTGTGCGACTGTAAACAGGGTCCCAGGCTCCAGAGGGAAAGCTGAGGATGCAGTGCCACTTCTTTAGATGGGAACACACTTTTTGGAGGACAGCAACTAGAGACCTGGGCTAAATGCAGCAGTCAACTCAGAGTAGAGGGTGGTGGGTCCCAGAAATAGAGAGTAAAATTCATAACACGAGAGGCCTCCAGAATCAACCTTCTGAGGATCCAAGTAAAATTCATGGTGGTATCCATGGTTTCTACGGAGCCAAGAATCCGTTTGGAGGTCTGAGGCAGTTGGAATGGAGGAAGGGGTTCCCCTCGTTCCTTTTTCTCAAGTAGCCAGTAACATCCATGATAGAAGGCACTGGCTGGGCAGCACCAGAAAGTAGAGAGTTAAGGGCTCAACCACCCAATCAAGATGGCATTGAAAGTCTGAGCCTTGCCATGGGACTGGAGCTAAGGACAGGGTTCAGAAGAGGCCTCGGTCCAAAGTAGGCCCATCCCGGTCTTCCCTTCCATCCACGTGAGAACACCCAGCTCTGAGGCCTCCTCACTCTGCAGAGCAGAGACCTTAAGGCAGTGATATGAGCACCATCCTTGAACAAACAGCCTCTTCCCACCACGGAATTGCATATTTTACAGCTGAGTTGGTTGGGGATCTTCACAGCTCATGGACTTAGCAGCAAAAGCAGTAAAAAGTCTCCAGCATAGGGCGCCCTGTCATCCCTGAAAGCAACCAGGCAAAGGCAGAAGCTTCCTTGGGGAGCAACCTGAACCATCTGTTGGACCTAAATGGAAAGATTCTGATACGAAGAGTCAGATGCACGTACTCCTTGGTTGGGTGGGACACAACAGTCCAGGTGAGTACGCCTGTAGATTCAGATAAGGTCTTGTGCTACATGGGAATCTGAAGAATGCACACTTGGGCCCGGGCTCACCCTGTGTCTTTGATCTGCAGAGCCCTGAAACTACATCCTCGCCAGGCAGTTCAGGCTGGATCTCATCCCACAGTGGCTTCCAGAAATGCCAGGAAAAGGACGTGTCCACTTGAGATAAGCAAGGTTCCATAGTCCTTCAGGGTCCATCTAATGGATCCCAGATCTTCTGCCCCTCCTGTATTAGACATCTAATCAAAGGCTTCTTTCTAGATGGCACCTTGGGTTTTGGCTACATTTCTTAGATGATCCTGAGGGTCTAGATAAGCAGGGGATGTGCACTTAATGGAGATTAAGATTTCCTACTAGACTGTGAACACAACGGCTCAAGTCTTGCCTTTTTTTTTTTTTTTTTTTTTTAAACCTGGCGACTGGTAGACAATAAGTACTCAGAGTTTGCTGCGTAAAGGCATACAGACTGCCGGGCCTTCGGGGCAACTTCTGGTGAAGGTGGATCCCTTTAGAAGGCACATCTTTGCCACCAAATCAAATTCCTTGAAACTTACATTCTGATTGTGAGTATTTCCTATGGATGTCTGGTCTCCTAGAAGTGAATATTTACTTGTCAAGAACAAACAGTAAATGCCAGTTCCAGATTTTGGATTCAGTCGAGCAGAGTGGCCGCCATCAGAATAGCGCAGTGAGGGGCCCAAAAGGCCACAACACAAAGGAATATTCCCAGGTTCCTGGTTTTCCTCCAGTCCTGTGTGGAGTTCAGAGTAGATCTTCTATCAGCATGAGGGGATACACTCTCAGGCTGGAGGCTGGCAGCTGAGCTCCCAGGCAGAACGTGTGCTCTCTCAATAGCGAAGTCAAGGTTCTTCTACTAACTTTTGTCTGAATCAATGCTTCCGGTCTCCTGTAAGTCCCAAGGATGCCAAAGATAGTGGTACGGCAGGCATCTAGTTAGTGCCAATTAGATGGTATCAGATTCTCTGAAGAAAACCCACTTGGAAAAGCCAAACTAGCCCCAGTAAAAGCAACCCAAGCATTTTGTGGACATGAGAGGAAATGGGGGGAAAAAGAAAGAAAGAAAGAAAGAAAGAAAGAAAGGAAGGAAGGAAGAACGAAGGAAAAGGAAAATAAATAGGCAGGTGGGAGGGGGAAAAAGAAACAAAACAAAAAGCAAAAATAAAAAAGAAAGTAGGGTTTATTGACTCTCATGCATGTTAAATTAGAGGGTATAAGACAGAGCTAGCAGTCTTTCTCTGAAGGCTGGAATGCTATTGTTGTGGTTTGGTGACTTCCAAGATAGGCAGCCATCTGGTCGTGGTCCCCTACATCATCCAGGGATGGGTAGCACGCTCTCTACCTTGGCAACTGCTTCCTCTCTCCAGCGTCATGTTTTCTTTTTCTTTCTTTTTTTTTTTTTTAAATATCTTTTACAGATTGATTTAAACATTTTTTAAACCACATGCTGCTTTTTCTGGGCTCCAGCCAGATCTCTGGGGGAAAGAGTTATTGGCAGTGGTGACGGAACTCAGAAGGGTCTGCGAGAAATTCTGGGGAGCTTCCGCCTCCCTTAGATGTCCCCACACAGGGCTGTCTCTCCCAGAGCTGTTCATGAGAATCACTTAGGAACTGCTGCAGGATTTTCTGATGTCTTCTGAACCCCTCCCCAGAAAGCCTAGGAGTCCGTAATTGAGACACGAAATCAAGGAAAAAAGACCCAGAATCATCTTTTCCCCAAAGTCATGAGAGGAGGCCAGTAAATGTATCTAGGGGACACAAGTTTCCAAGCTCCACCCCACCAGTCCTTACTAGGAAGTTCTCAATCAAGGTGCAGCACCAAGAACCTGCCCTCTTCCTTTCCTCCTCCTCCCCCTCCTGTTCTCTTGGGCCGGAGAACCAGTGCTCTGGAAGAAGAGAGGGGAGAGGAGGAGAGAACGTCGCTGATGCCAGCATTCTGCTCTCTGGGGTGACAGTGACGCTAGACCCTCAAAGCGTGGCCTGGAGGTTTGGGTCCAGGATGGTTTCTCGATCTGGAGACTCAATGTAACTGGCGGCTTCTTGAAGTTTCAGCAGCATGGCCATCTAAAGAGGGGCAAAAGGATGCATTCGTGAGAGTCGGGACTCAGGGTCCTTGCCCACAGAAGGGAAACATAAAGCCATCTAGATCATGGGTCTGGAAGGTTCTCGTTTGGAAGTGATGAAGGGCCCAGAGGGTTTACAGGTGGCTCACTGGCTCAAGAAAAGGCAACCAGGGTTACTTCAACCCCGTCTGTAAGCATGGGCACGTGCTGCTGGAGAGTGTCTCGTCGATACGATGTCCAAACAAGGCAGCCTCTGCCTCCAAGGCGTTCACACGCAGGAGAAGACAGAAGGCCTGGACATACGGGTCAATACCGGGAGGGATGTGCAAAGCGGCCGTAAGAACACCTGTGTGTGTCAACTTCTTCCAAATAGATCATAACCGAACAGACTCAGTGTTCTCACGAGCCAGTCCTGCGCCCCCAACACACAGCCTAGTGCTTCGGGTCAGGTCTAAACACTATGGTGCATTCACCTCCTTCCTCCTGCACTCTTCACCTCTCTCCCACTCCCATGTTTCTTCAAGACTGTCACCCTCCATTTCAGCTCCGCACACCTGGCTGGTTCTCTCCTGAATCCACTCTTCACCTTTCTATTTACGTGCCTGTTAACAGTCTTCCATTTTAATGGCTTTTTTTTTTTTTTTTTACACAGGTAGCACCTGTTTTTAACAAAGTCAAAATCTAAAATGTATTATGACTAAAGTAGAAGAATTTCTTATTTGCCTCGTCAAACTGCAAGGTCACAGGAGTGGGGCATGTTACATTTTAACACAAGCTGCCAAGTTCTCTTTCGAAAGGGCTTTGCTAACAAACGCTCCCATCAGCCGAGTGTGAAGTCTGTGCTTCCAGACACACTATTTCTGCCAATGGGAAACGGTTTTCTCCTTGTTTTGATGTTGCATTTCTATGATTATTAGGGAAGCTAAGGATCTTTTTATATACATATATATTTAGAGATTTTATTTATTTATTTGACAGAGATCACAAGTAGGCAGAGAAGCAGGCAGAGAGAGAAGGGGGAAGCAGGCTCTCTGCGGGGCTCGATCCCAGGACCTTCTCAGATCATGACCTGAGCCGAAGGCAGAGGCTTAACCCACTGAGCCACCCAGGGGCCCCTCTTTTTATACTTTTATTGGCCATTTGCCTTCCTCTAGTCAAATGCCTATCCATATCCTTTGTCCATTCTTCCAGCTGGAAATTTTATAGGAAGTCTTATATATTCTAGGTACCAATCCTCTTTTGGTTACAAGCCTTGCAAATATTTGCACCCAACGGGTCCCTTGTCTCAGACTACTTTTCACAGTGGTTCGTGAAATCCACTGAACTGAAGCCATCCTCAGGATAATACCAATGTATGGGGAGAGGTAGTGACAGAGTGTATATGTGTCCCACTGCTCTCTTTTTTGGTTAATAGTCCTAACTGGGATCTGCCTGAGACATGGATCTCTACGAGCTTGCATCTTGCTAGCAAGCATTATTATTTAGCTTAGGCTAGGCTGTAGGCCTATGAGCTTCATAACCCAAGATTCTGATGGCTGAGCTCCTCGCTGACCTCATTCTAGTCCTAGCCTTGCTGAAACCCTCAAGCCTCCATCAGGGTATGCATGAAAAGTTCAATTCCAGGGGCACCTGGGTGGCTCAGTCAGTTGAGCATCTGACTCTTGATTTTGGCTCAGGTGATGATCTTGGGATCGTGGGATCAAGCTCTGCAGTGCAGTGCAGAGCCTACTTGTCCCTCTCCCTCTGCTCCTTCCCCAGCTCATGTACACACACGCACATGCTCTTCAAATAAATAAATAAAATCTTAAGGAAAAAAGTTCAGTTCCATAATACTCTTACTTTCACGTTAGAATGGCTTCTACTTACCAGAGGGTCTGAGTCCAGAGAACTTGGGGTGCTGTCTTTGACCGTCCTATCCTCGGGAGGTGAGGCAATGCTATGAGGGCCCACAGTGGGAGGGGGCAGGTGGTACAGCTTCGATTGGTCTTGTTGGGCTGATGGCCAGGGAAGAGTGTCCCGGACCCACTCTACTGGGTCCTCCCAAGCGGCTTTCTGTCCGTGGACCTGGATAGAAGGGGAAATGTGGTTACTGGCAGAGGGATCCACAGATAGAGACTTGCTCATAGTGTCTCCTGATGGCCATATGCATTTCCTCCAATGGAAAGCCCTGAGACTCATCCCCATGAGTTGAGACTCAACTCCTTTGAGTTTCCCCAGAAAAGAAGTAAGTTGGTATAAACAGGTAAAACTATTCTGGAGGATAACTTGGCAGGCCGTGTGAAAAACTTAACATGTAAATGGGGTACCGGGGTAGCTCGATGGGTTAAGCATCAGACTCTTGATTTTGGCTCAGGTAATGATCTCAGGGTTGTGAGATCGAGCCCTATGTTGGGCTCTGTACTGGGTGTAGAGCCTGCTTAAGATTCTCGCTCTCCAGGGACGCCTGGGTGGCTCAGTTGGTTAAGCGGCTGCCTTCGGCTCAGGTCATGATCCCAGCACCCTGGGATCGAGTCCCACGTCCGGCTCCTTGCTCGGCAGGGAACCTGCTTCTCCCTCTGCCTCTGCCTGCCTCTCAGCCTACTTGTGGTCTCTCTCTCTCTCTGACAAATAAAAATTAAAAAAAAAAAAAAATTAAAAAAAAAAAAAAGATTCTCGCTCTCCAGACACAGCACCTCCCCAGGCCCCAGCACTGCTGCTGAGACCTCTATGCGTCCCACTTAAGGAAATGCCTTTACTCAGGGAGCCTCCCGCTACTCAGTGCGGAAGGAAGAGCTGGTCTCCCCTCGGCCGACGCCAGGAGCCCAGAAATGCTGCATCGGGGAGCAGGCGCCCAGGCTGGACCTGCCCCCTCCCTGCAACGTGTATGTTCAAAAGTGAACAATAAACGTGCATCTCTGAAAGGATGCAGAGAACCGGGAAAAAAAAAAAAAGATTCTCACTCTCTTCCGCCCCTCCCCATCACTCCCCTCTCTAAAAACAAAAACCCCCAAAACAAAAACAAAAACAAAAACCGTAAAAAACACTTAATATGTACTCGTCTTATGCCCCCATAATTTTAGTAGGAAATTCTTCCACTTTAGTAATCATATCATTTTTTTTAACTTTTTTTCTTTTTTCTTTTTAAGTAGGCTCCATGCCCAGCGTGAGGCTTGAACTCATGACTCCAAGATCAAGAGCTGCACACTCTACCAACTGAGCCAGCCGGGCACCCCAGTAATCCCGTCTTTTAAAAGAATTTTGACTCTGTTGAAAACAGATGTTCTCTGTGTAAAAACACTTTGAAGTTGGAAAACTGTTAATAAGAATGCAAACTTTGAGGCACCTGGGTGACTCAGCTGGTTATGTGTCTGATTTTGGCTCAGGTGATGATCTCAGGGTATTAGGACTGGATCAGGCCTGGGCTGGGCTCCCCACTCAGCAGGGAGTGTGCCTGTCCCTCTGCCCCTTCCCCTGCTTATGCTCTTTCTCTCTCAAATAAATAAATAAATAAATATAATCAAAATTAAATGAAATAATGATTTAGGGCACTCATCTGATAGATAGCATCTCTAGAAACTTATCACATCATCACAAGATATCTGCTGCAATGACAAATTACTTTTATGGAAAATACATGGCCGATAGGGTCCAGCCACTGCACTGTAGTCCACTAGTGCTGGAATGGACACTAGTGATTGTTATGCCCTAATCCACAGGTTATATAAAAAAAAAAAAACAATTAGGGAGGCTTTAATAAAATGACATCTTTCTTTTGCATAAGTTCTTATTCTAGCTTCTAAAAATCTTTTCACATATATCATGTCTTCAAAACAACCCAGTGATTCAGGCAGAGCACATTTTATTATCTCCGTTCTTATATATAAGGCTATTAAAAAAAGATTATGTAACTTGGTCAAAGTAAGATTTTTAGTAGTAGTTAGTAATTAGCTAAGGCTGTAATAGGGTTTTACTTAATTTTAAGCTCGATGATTTCTCTATCAGCTCTGATTCTTAAGAGAGAGGACTGTGTTTGGCACAGAACCAGAAGGCCCAGGACTGGAGACAGGCCCTAGAAACCGTGATCCTGTAGACATTCGCTGAATGGTGGCTGGACACTGGGCCTTACTCGACCTCTCAGCAAAAGACCCTGACAACCCTTAGTAGCCTCATTCTAACATGGAAGAGATGTTTCTGCTTTGTTAAGTGGGACAGGCTGACCTTGGGGACTGAGTGGAATCAGAGCGTAGGGCTCACCTTGATCCCGTCCTTTGCTCCTTCCTGTAGGTAGGGAATGATAGAATTGTTCCACAGGTCAATGAACCAGGTCCGGAAGTCCTCAATGCCAATGGGGCAGGACAGAAAGAAGCAAGGGCCTATGGGGAAAGGACAGGGCCGGTAAGATGGCTGAGCACCCAGCTCTCCCCAGTCATCTGTCTCTTTTATTCCTTAATACCAGGCAGAGGGGTCTGATAACCCAAGGAGGAAAGGAAATTTAGAGTGGGGCTGTCCTGGGACCAGTGGGAGTAAGGGGAAGTTTTCCAATTCCCTCAATGCTTTCCTTTCCTTTCCCCATTAATTGTGGGAAAAATGAGGGCGCGGGGTTAGCTTTCTGCTCTTTGAAGAGATTTGCCCAAATCATGGTGCTCACTGTGAGGGGAATGCTTGGTACGTAGTTAAGTAGCCCTGGGTCTGAAGCCACGGGGCTTGCCACTCCTTTCCACGCTGAAGACTCCAGAAAGAAATGGGAACATCCCACTGGGTGGGAAAGGAGGAGAGGAAAGCCACCTTCTGACCCCAAAGGGGAAGCTGCACCCCAGTACCGATGAGGAAGTCTGAGGTGCTGTGCTTCTCAAGGAAGGTGTGGAGATGGTACCACAGCTTGGGCACCCAGTCGAGCACCCGAAGCAGTTCTTCCTTGTTGGCATTGATGTCGCTGTCCGACTCCACCAGCTTCCTCCTCAGGTAACGAACCAGGAAGCCATTGGCTGGCTCCACGTTGTTGGAGAAGGTCAGCATCCTGCAGCCAGGAGTGGGGAGAGGGGTCAATGTGGCCCATCCCCTACCAGTGTGTCCCTCCTCCTGCTAATTCCCACCGGGCTTCTTCTCAAGTAATAGTGGAGCTGACGGAAGTCAGGGCAGCAGCCCTGGGCAGGCAGAGCTGATTCTCAAACCAGGGACCCTCCTCAGATAGCCATCTGACCGCACTGACCCGGATTGGGGAGGGGGGGCGAGGGCAAAGAACGTGACTAACAGCATCGGAGCTGCAGCTCTCTTAGTTTTGTAGTTCTTTCTTCTTCTCGAAGGTTCTCTCCCACTCTTATTAACTGACATGGCACATATCCCTGCTCTCTCTTCCCAGCCCAGAGGCCCTGCTTAGTTCCCCTTCCTGCCGCTGTCTACTGCCCCTCTGGCTGGATCCTGGGATTTAACTAGTTTACAGAACCCTGGATAGCATTGGAAGGTTTATCCAGAGTCCCCGTTCTTACCTGAAGCTCAAGTGCAAGCCGTGATTAGGTGTCATTTTTACAGGCTGATTCGTGGTACCTATGATATAAGGACTGTGGAAGAAGGAGGAAAAAGGTTTACTTAGACTTAACCCTTGCTTTCTGCTACATACGCCCAGTACGCCCAGTGGAAAGCTCAGGGGTTGGACTGTACCAGGCTCTCCTTCTCCCCACTGTGGGGAGTGGGTCCTGACCCCAGCCCACCCCGGCTCACCATTTGTGGTACTTGCAGGTGAGGGCCCCATTGACCAGCTCACTGATGGAGCCCGCTTCACTCAGGTCATCCAGCAGGATCACCAGCGGGACGTCCCCAATTCCTGTTTCCCGGTCTATCTGGTTGGCCAGGTTGGAGAGATACAGTTGCAGATCCTAAAACAAAAGAAAGAAGTGGGTCAGCACTCAGGAGCAGGGAGTACTTGGACCAGCACTTGGGACGAAGGGTTGTGGGGAAGGTTATGCTAGTTCCAGATTCCCCTGGAGGCTCTGGTTCCTGTTCAATGCGTCTGAACATTGGACTGTAGAACCAGACTACTGTGGACTGATAAATAGTGGTCCCAAAGGCTCTAAGGCAACTGTTTCTTGTTTGTTTGTTTTTTTAAGATTTTATATATTTATTTGAGAGAGACAGAGAGAGAGTGAGAGGGAGTATAAGCCAGAGGGAGAGGCAGAAGCAAACTCCCCACCGAGCAGGAAGCCCAATTCGGGGCTTGATCTCAGGACCCTGGGATCATGACCTGAGCCAAAGGCAGATGCTTAACCGACTGAGCTACCCAGGCACCCTAAGGGAACGGTCTTAAAAACAGCGGCTCCTAAATCCCTGAAGGACGGGGACCATATCCTATTTCTTAAAGGGATTTTCACTGGGCTGGTACTATGAACCACTCTAACGGATAAGCCTCCCTCTACTGGGGCAACCCCAGAGCACCAGGGTGTGCTCAAGAAACATCCAGATTTGGCAGGGGACAGCAGAATGTGTCACATGTGGGGCGCCTGGGTGGCTCAGTGGGTCAAAGCCTCTGCCTTCACCTCAGGTCATGATCCCAGGGTCCTGGGATTGGGCCCTCCATCAGGCTTTCTGCTCAGCAGGGAGCCTGCTTCTCCCTCTCTCTCTGCCTGCCTCTCTGCCTACTTGTGATCTTTGTCTGTCGAATAATTCTGAGTTCTTCTCCCCTGAAAGCCTAAAGTCAGAGTAATACTGAAAAGAAAGGTAGAGGGAAGAAGTGAACGAAGGGACGGGATTTTCAGGGTCGGCAGAAAGCGAGTTGGAAACGAGAATGTTGTTCAGTCAATGATCAGCATAAGGGAAAGGCATATAGCAGAGGCAAGGGGAAGTGTGGAGAAAGAAGGGAAAGGCAAAGTCTGGAAAGAATCTGGGGGCAGTGGAGGGACTGGAAAAGGGAAATGCAAGGGGGAGGGGAGGAAAGGGAACAGAAGGGGTGGAAAGGGGCCTGGGGAAGGCCTTGGGGTAGCTGAGGCCTGAGCCAGGGCTGGGGGGTGTCAGGAGGCAGCCACCTTGCAAGACTGCTGGTGCATGTTGAAGGTGCTGACGATGCCCTCGGTGACCTCGCGGCCGGAGCGTTCCACCAAGTACTCGGCCAGCCGGTTGGTCAGGTAGGTCTTGCCCGTGCCGCTGGGGCCCGAGAGGACGAGGCGCCGGTGCTTGAGCAGAAGGCTTATGTAGTGCTGCATCATCGGCTTGGGGACCAGTGTCTCGAACACCAGGCTGTCCACGCACTTCTCCTTCAGACCTGAACCCCCAGCCCCAGAGAGGATGAGCCACGACCGGGGCCCTGAGCATGGCCCTAAGTGCCCACTGGAAGAACCTAGGGCCACGTGCCCCGTGGTTCCATAGGAATCCTCTAACTCCTGGTTTTGAAAACATAGATCTTATTTTTTGGGATGTGTTTGGAGTTACAGGTGTGTGGGTAGAATGAGAAACCCAGGCTTTCTAGAAATTTCCCTGGCAATGAAATGGCCCTGGGAACAGAAGTTAGGACTGGGTCTTACTCATCTTTGTACATCTCACCTTACTTAAGTACAGTGAGCTGCACAGCATAGCTTCTGAGTAAGCCCTTGTTGAATGAATGGGTGACGGACTGTCTGTTGTGCCTCCTCCTCCCTCACCCCATACCACTGCACCCCAAGAGACAAAGACTGACCTTTGAGGGAGACCGATATGTTGTTGACACCTCGGCGGCAGGGAGGCATGTCTGGAGGCTCCGCGTCCAACACCCGCTTCACGTGGCTGATGCTGTAGCCATGGATGGACTCGGTGCTCAGTCCCAGGGTGGAGGCTGGGTCCATCTTAGAAATGTAGTCCTGATAGAAAAGAAGGGGAAAAAAAAAAAAAAGATAGAGAGGAACACCAAGGTGATGCAAATCCAGAGGTACAAGCCACAGATTTCAGAGGAAAGAAAAGTCGATGGAGAAACCACGTTTTTCCTACTTAGCATTTCTCCAGGAAGCATCAAAGATCCCCAAGATCCCAATGCCTGGACGGCTCCATATCCCATGAAAGGATGAACAACCTTTGGGAGGTACATGTATCCCTTTACCTTGAACACTTGGAAAACAGCTTCGTCTAGCATCTTCCAGTCCACTTTTCCACTGACCTTGCTACAGCCCAGGAAGAATTCCTGCTGTTTCAAGTCCTACATGGCCAGGCAGAAAGAAGTGTGTGAGCCTCAGTGTGGTTCCTCCAAGAAAGGGGTGTTGGTCCTAAAAAGCCTTAGTGGTGGGGTATTCTGGTTTTGGGGCTGTTCAGAGCCCAGATGTTCTTGGATAAAAATAATAGTGTTGCGAGGCTCCCAGAAGTTCCTTACCCCTTTGATGATGTGCTGGGGGGGGCATCCGTACCACCACCCGAAGGGTCACTTCCTCCTTTGGACCACAGGTGCTGATGCCATCCATGGGTGACAGGTCTGTCGGCAATGAAAACAACTATTGGCTTTAGGGGCACCCACAGGCTTTCCTGAACCTTCTAGTCACCATCTCTTCCAAATGACTACTGACTACCAAGATGAAACTAAAAAGCCATTAGAACAATGCTGTGTCTTGTGACATGAGGGGTGCACTTGGTTTAGCCACTGTTAACCTCTGTGACGCGAGAGGGGTGTCCCCTGAGCGAGCACAGTGGTGTACCAGGGACCCAAACCCTCTTCCTCCTGCCACCCTTATTTTTCTCCCAAACAGGTACCTGTGTCGGTGAGACTTGGGCTGGAGGAATGGGTGAGGGCAAGGCCCAGGGAGCGGCGAGGGGAGGCTAACGCAGAAGATCCGGGGACCTGCCCTGGAGTGGAGCCCGAAGAGGGGCCTGGGGCGACCTTCAGCCGGTCGTTCTCGGCTTTCAGCAGGTCCACCTCCAGCTGCGGCGAGAACAGACGGGGGCGGGACCGCAGAGTTGGACGAATCCCAGGGCCCGGTCTTCCCTCTGCTCAGCTCTCCGCCCAGATACACACCTGCATATTGTGCATCGTCTCCCGAAGCTGGTCCAGCTGGTGGGCGGAGTTGAGGGCTTCCAAGCGGATGTCTGTAAGCTTCATCTCCTTCTCCCACAGCTCGGAACGCAGTTCTGACACCTCCTTCTTCTCTGGCTCCTCCTCCTCGTTGCCATGGAACAGCCTAGTGTGGGGGCCCGGGTGAGCGGGGGCCCTGGGAGAAAGTGAGAGTGAAGCCAGGCCGCATGGGGCAGCTCTAGAGTTACCGGGGCACACGAAGACCCTTGGTCGCTAGTCTCAGAGATAATCAGTAGTGGGAGGGAAGGTCTCAGAGGACCCAGGAGAGATCTATAGCGTGGTGTTGTTCATCCAGAGCCACACTGCCACCCCCAGCCAGTGGCACATCCTCGTCCCAGGTTGGGTGGCCAGCAGACAGCACTTACTCGGTGACATCTACGCCCACAGAGGAGGAGTTGGAGGACTTGATGGAGGGCGATGCGGTTTCCGTGGAGCCATGCTGTAGTTTAGGGGACGACGGGGCGGAGGAGTCCGGGGTGGCTATCTCCTCAATGTCAGAGTATGAGGAAGCGGACTTGGGTCCCTTTTTTATGCTGAAGGCTTTGTTGAAGGAACTTCGAAGCTAGAAAAAAGCAGATCCAAGTGGAGAGATGTCAGGGCTCCGCTCTGGGGACTGGGGGAGCACTGGTTTGGGACTTCTGAGACGGAGAGGTATACGGGCAAGGTATCTGCTTGCTGTCATTAAGCCTCCTTCTTAAGGCTTCACTCAATTCATGGAATATGGACAGAAGAGTTGCCTAGAAATTAGGGCTGAGAGAAAGTGAACTGTTCTGGCTTGCCGTTGCTGTAGTCTACGGGAACTTTTTGGGTCTGCTCTCTCCCATGGGGGAACTATGGCCCTAAGGGGGCAGAGAGAAGCCCCCAGAGGTCACAGGGTGGCCAATCTCTCAATGATACAATCCCACCTTCTCCAGCAGACCAATGACTGCTCAGTCTAGAGCCTTGCTCACTTTGGGTCTCAGGACCCACCCCGACCATGGCTCATCCGATCAGAATCCATTTACCTATTTACCTACTAACCAGGAACTGGCAAGATGAGTCTGTGGAAATCAACGGAAGGGACTGGTATCAAGTTTTTTTTTTTTTAGTGTCTCTTGTGCTCAGCACATCCCAGAATGGTGAAAATAATCAGACACAAGTGCTTTCTCCTGTTCCCACTCACATATTCTAGAATAAGGACTATTTCCCAGCATCTCCTCAGAATACTTGGGAGGCTATAATGCGACCGTAGGTTGTTTGACCTGTGGTGATGAGCTCGGATGTTAGGGCTGTGAGCTAGAGATGCAAACCAAGGTCCTGGCCCGCCCATTCTCATGCATCCATATAGCATGCACACACACACAGGGACACAGATATGGAACGGCAGCCAGAGACAGAGAGTAAAGGAGGGGTCGAAGGCTGGAGGGGACAAAAGCAATCCACATCTTTGGGACGGTGAGAGAAAAGAAAGGAAAACTGGAGGGTACTCTTTCCAAGTGTCTCTTCTGGAACACAGGAAGGCTGTTAGGTAAGTGAGGAGAGCTGATAGTGGTGTGTGTTGGGGTGTCTACTAGGCAGGACATAAAGGAGGACCAATCTGGCTGCGATGGGGACAGGAGAAAGAGGGTATGGGTGCAGTTAGCTAGTGTGTGTGTGCAGGAGATAGAGTATCATGGAAGGTGAAAAGTTGACTTGCTGAAAATTGTAGAGTTCCAGTCCAGGCCTGGGACTAGAACTCATGCTTTCTAATTTTCAACCCAGTGGTCTTCTCTGCACTGCTGCCTCACGGAAGGTGGGTGTATATGAGACAGACAGAGAAAGAGAGAGTGTGTGTGCGTGTGCATGCGTGTGTGTGCGCACAGCAAGAGATCCTATGACCACAATCTGCCCCAAGCACACATCCTGTAAGATCACAAAGACGCTGAGGGAGAGACAGCAGTGTTCTCTGTGTTGTTCCGGGTTCCCAAGGCACAGCTGTTTGCAGATGTTCACCGGTGTTATGTGGTGAAGGATTCCCTGAGTTCGGGAAACAGTGAATCAAGCAAGATGAAACAGACTCTACTGAGGGACATTTCAGAACATTCCTACTTGGTTGTGCACTGTAGAAATGCAGGGCTTCTCAGATTTGATGATGGCATCCCTGTTTTAAGGAGCATTGCCATGCGTAGCCTTGTACCCAACACATGCTGGGAAAGGCCAACCTAAAGAATCAAGTTTAAATAATTACCCTGGCATTACAGACCCTTCCTATCTGCGACCACTCTCCTTAGAGCTCCAGCTACACTGACTTTGTCCCTGCAGAGAGCATCTCCACACACTCTTCTAGCACAGTCCCGTCTCAGTTTAGCTTTCCTCTCCCTTGTGGGGTCTCCCCGGCCTCCTGTAATTAGTTTCATCTACGAGCTCCTCTAGCACTCACTGGCTGAATTAAGCATTTTGGCACCTCTGGATTGTCATCAGTCTCACAGGTACCATATTGGTTTTTGTCTCCCCAGAAATTCTGCAGGCTTCTGGATGGTTCCGATTACAAACTCCACTTTTCACATCCTTCATAACACCTGGATTACAAACTCCACTTTTCACATCCTTCATAACACCTGGAGCAATGCTGGGCTAGGTTAGTGGACCTCAGATGTCTGGTCTGTAATGGAAACTCGGGGTTCACTTTCTGCTTGTCTGAGACTCTACTCTAATCCCTGAAATGTCTTTGGAAACTCCATGGAGGCTCAGAGGGCTTCGGGTTTTTGGGTGGTTTGAGGGTGTCCTGGATTGGATAATAGCCTCTTCTATTTCTGGTTCATCTTCCTAGAGAGCTAAATCTTCCGGCGAGACCCTAACTGCACAGGCCTCTGGGGACTGTGGTCAAAATACTGTTTGTCCTGTGATTCTCTTCCATTTGGGGATTCTAGGGTTTGAAGGAACAACAACAAAAAATCAGAAAGCTCATTTTCTGGACAGGAGGAACTCCAAGTGACTGCTTTTACAACAGGCTGATTTTGTAACAAGGGGAAGACAGGAGGGAATAGATCAGAATTTTGTTTAACTTTTCCATTTGGCCCCCAACCAGACCACTCCTCTGTCCTCATGTGGAGGCAGCCGCGGATGGACCATGCAGTGGAGTGAGTTAGGAACTCTGGGGTGGTTGTTACGGTTAGTTTTATGAGTGGCCACTCTTTCTTCAGGGGGAGGGGGTTGCTCTGGAAATGGGGAAGGTATGGCAAAAGGAAAGAGAAAACAAGGAGAGAGGAACTGGGTCTCTTACCTCATAGACCTGGAAAAAAATAGGGATTTGAAGTCAGCATTTTGAAGGGAAAAAAAAAAGAAGCAACACTTAATCACTCATTTCATATAGCTGGGACCCATCTGGGCTATACAAAGGTTTGGGGGCCAGTCTTATTGGCAAGGGGACATAGTAGCAAGAAGTCTCCATTTTGGGATCCTCTCATTACCACAGGCAGCACAGAGGCTAAAAGTGTTTTAGATCTGTCTATAGAACTTCAGAAAAGGCCATCCAAAGTCAGTTTCAGGCCATCGGGAGCCAGCCGTTGGGGGGAGAGGCGATGGGGGGGGGGTACTCTCTTTGGACTAATTAACAGTAATATAATGGTTCCTTCTGAAGTCATATGGAAAGTTCCACAAATACCTCTCCAAAAAATTCCAAGAAACGGCCTGCAGGTGCATCTAGAATGAACGGCTTTGTTCAGAAAAAGAAAGGGAATGGGGAGGGGTGGGCAAGGGGCTTGACAGGACGTTCCCTTCTGGATATTCCTTCTGTTGCCAAATACATTTGACCTAATCCAAGGCATGGGGAGCCCAAGGAAAGTGGGTGTGCACAGGGTTGGAGGGACGGCCTCAGTACAGGTGGGGCAGGATGGGGATAACAGGTGAGTTTAGCAGAACTTGCTCCGAGCTGATGCCTGGGGCTTTGTATTCATCCCAAGGCACCCTATCTTGGTTAATTCTGGAAGGAGCTGGTCCCTATGCTGAAGTGGAGGTGACCCACCATGGCTCTACATAGTTCCTGCCCCCCAAACTTTACCTACCCAGCTCTTTTTTTTCTTCTTTTTTGCATCAGCATCCTTGCTGCTTCCAATGCTGGAATGGCTGGTGATGCTGTTGAGGCTCGAGATGCTGTCCGAAGAATTCTGTCTCTTGATCCGGAGTTCTAGGGGCCAAGTACAAGTGGGAAGAACATACACATGGTAGATTTGAAGAAGACGTGGGACTTAGGGCCAGCATAGCTGCAGAAGGCGGAGCAGAAGGGCACCAACAACTCCTCCGTCCACATTATTCATTTTCTGGATCATTCTTTCAACATTTATTGAGGGCCAATCACATTTCAACATTAAAAAAATGGTAACAGTAAAAAAATAAGAAATGACTGCTGTTCTCAAGAAGCTTCCAGTCTAATAGGATAAACAGCAGTACACAAACTAATGAACTTAGCCTGAATAGGTCTGAGAAGGGCTTAATGAGAGCTGACTCTCAATACTTTGATGGAGACATCAACCTATCATTTTTTTTTAAAGTAAACTCTACCCCCAGTGTGGGACTCATCACCCCCTAGATCATGAGCTACACATTCCACCAACTGAGCCAGCCAGGCACCCCTCAAGCTACCATTTTTCATTATTTTCCCCAGCAATACTTGGGTGCCTGGTACTCTAAGGCCAAGTATAACTAGCCATGTGTCCTGCATTTAACCTGAATGAGCTTTTGTTGTCTCATCTGACAGGTCGAAAATCTTTTCAGCACTCTGAGAAGGTTTGGAATGGCACAAAAGATGATCCAGTTTTCCAGCATAGGGAAGGAAAGAATTAACCAGGGAGGAGATGTTTCAGTCTTGAAAGAACAGATAGGACGATCTGGGCTAAAGGAAAAGTACATGAAAAGGCCCTGTGCAGGGCTCTGGCTCTGCTCTGGGGAACTTTGGGCAGACTGGAATGGGAGCAGTACAAGGAGCATACCCCAAGAGGTGAGGGTGAGAGTGAAGGGTAGGCTCAAGCCAGATCAGGAGAGCCCTGAAAGCCTTTTAAAGGAAATCTGGTTTTGTGCCGTAGGTAATGAGCAGGAGCAGTAAGATTCTGGAGCAAAGGCAGACTATAATCAGATTTTTAAAAAAAGATTTTATTTATTTATTTGACAGAGAGATTGGGAAAGAGCACAAATAGGCAGAGAGGCAGGCAGAGGGGAGAGGGAGAAGCAGGCTCTCCACTGAGCAGGGATCTGGATGTGGGACTTGATCCCACGACCCTGGAATCATGACCTGAGCCGAAGACAGACGCCTAACCGACTGAGCCATCCAGGTGCCCCAGATTTTTTTTTTTTTCTTTTTTGAGAGAGAGAGAGCGAGCGAGAGCAAGCAGTGAGGGGAAGGGCAGAGGGAGAGGGAGAGAGAGAAAATCCTCAGGCAGGATCCCCACTGGATGCAAAGTCCAACTCAGGATACAATCCCAGGACCCTGAGATCATGACCTGAGCCGAAATCAAGAGTTGGATGCTTAACCGACTGAGAAAACCCAGGCGCCCCAATATAAAATCAGATTTATAAAACCTTTTTATTTTGAAATAATTACAGACTCACATAAAATTACAAAGAAACATACAGGGAAGTCCTGTGTACCTTTTGGCTAGTCTCCTCCAATATCAGCGTCTTGCCTAATTGTAGGACAAAGTCAGAAGATTGCTTTTTTTCATAGAGCTTACTGTGTTAACATGCAGAAAGAGGAAGTGGAGGGAAACCAGATTTAGAGGTAGGGGACCAGTGAGGTGGGCTATTTGCCATTGTCCTCCTAGAAACAAGGGCTGTTCAGTGAAGATATGGGTAGCTCCTGGTTATTGTCTCATTCTCTCCATGACCAAGAAGACCAAACTCTAATCTTCCTTTCATATGGCTGGGAAAACCAGAACACCAACGCTCACAAAGCTCATGGACAACACTTCGTTCAAAAATTATCAAACCGAGTTTATAATACTATAGAGTAATTCCAGTTATTTTAAAGGTGTGGGGCACCTGGGTGGCTCAGTGGGTTAAGCCTCTGCCTTCCGCTCAGGTAGTGGTCCCAGGGTCCTGGGATCGAGTCCCACATCGGGCTCTCTGCTCGGCGGGGAGCCTGCTTCCCCTCTCTCTCTGCCTGCCTCTCTGCCTACTTGTGATTTCTCTCTGCGTGTGTCAAATAAATAAATAAAATCTTTAAAGAAAAAAAAGGTGTGGAAAACTCTCAGGAGAACATGCTGTTTGAAATAAAGAAATTTCTATTTGTATAAAACACACACACACACACATATATTTGCATATGCAGAAAATTATTTTTGGAAAGATTCACAAGAAACTATTAACAGCAGTTTTCTCTGGGGAGTGAGATTTGGGGGGGCGGGGTTCAGGGAGAGGGATTTTTATATTTTACCAGTACCCTTTTGTATAGTTTACACATCAGAGGCTGACACACTGTCACTGTAAAGGGCCAAACAGTAAATATTTCAGGCTTTGCAGTCACATGGTCTCTGTTATACCTAGTCAGCAATGCTGCTGTTGCATTAAAGCAGCCATAAATAATAAGTAAATAATGAGTATGACTGTGCTCTAGTAAAACCTTATTTAAAAAAACAGATGGTGAGGGCCACTTGGATGGCTCAGTCTGGTTAAGCTTCTGACTCTTGATTTCAGTTCAGGTCATGATCTCAGGGTCATGAGATCAAGCCCTGCATCTGGCTCTGCATTCAGCGCGGAGTCTGCTTGTGACTTTCTCTCCACCTCTGACCCTCCCCCACCTCTATCTCTCTTTCTCTCTCCAATAAATAAATAAAACTTTAAAAAACAAAACAAAACAAAACAGGTGGTAAGGCAGATTTGGCCAATGGGCCATGGCTTATCAACCCCTAATTCACATTTTCCTCAGAATATGTATTGCTTTTATTATTATTATTTATTTATTTATTTTTCAAGATTTTATTTATTTATTTGACAGAGAGAGATCACAAGTAGGCAGAGAGGCAGGCAGAGAGAGAGAGGGGGAAGCAGGCTCCCTGCTGAGCAGAGAGCCC